GCCGAGAGCTGAGAGGCTCCTTAGAGCAGATGCAGCGTTTGGTCGTGCCTCAGTTTACTCCTGATCAGGCTGAGCGTGTACGTCACGGCAGCAGACAAGAAGGACACTGGCCCACTGTGTCTTCCACGTTCCCTTCCCAGTCGGCCCTTCCATCTCGGACACAAGAACCGAACAAAAGACACTCTCCTGCCTGCAGAGCACACGAGTGGGTGTGGTAGGGGCAGTGGGGCGTGGCCAAGAACCCAGCGGGGAGGCAAGTGAGGTGGGGCCAGAGAAGCAACCTCTTAGAGACCGCCTCCAGAGGTCCGGGGCACGGGAGGGTGGGCAGGAGGCCCTGTGTTTCAGGAAAGCAAGCCTGAATGCTTGTGGTCTCTGTGCCTTCTGGAAACACCACTGGTCTCTAAATCCCAGAGCCTAAGAGCCCCGGCCAGCCCTGCCCTCGGTGACCCCTCCCAGCTGCTAGGAAGAGCCTCCTCCCTCTGGGCCAGGGAGGAAGAGCCGGGAGAGCTGCCCGTGCCTTTTGCCACTGTCTCCTGCCCACGCCACTTCCCACAGGACTTCCGAGGGGCTGGGGGCTGGCTCTCCCTGTAACAGCTCCCCTGTGCCACTTGGCACAGGCCCCTGGCCAACCACTACCCTGAAGGGGATTCGGGGATAGCAGGGGCAGGGGAGTGAGGTGGGGAAGGAGAGAGCTCGATCTCCATAGCCTGAGAAGACCCTGGGGAGACAGGCAAAGCACGAGGAGACCCTGGGCGAGAAGGGGCCGCAATGAACCAGCTCAGTGGCACAGGGAGGGCAAGCCAGACCTGGGGGCTCGGAGTGGAAGCTGCTGTCTCCCAGGGAGCCTCAGGACATGGGGCGAATCCAGCGTCCGAGAGCTGGAATGGGGTGTCCTCCTGCTATTCAGTAATTCATAAAATATGTTCTAAAAGTTGGAGGGGCGAGGCCAGCTTCAGCCCCGGCTGACCGCAGCAGGGCTGGGTACGGACGAATGCAGCAAGAGCTTTGGAGCACTGGGGTTTTCGGAGAAAACCCTCGGGGCCGGCGCTGTGGCATGGTAGGTGGAGCCGCGGCCTGCAGTGCTGGCAGCCCACATGGGCGCCAGCTGGTGTCCCCGCTGCTCAGCTTCCAACCCGGCTTCCTGCTAGTGGCCTGGAAAAGCAGCAGAGGATGGCCCAAGTGCTTGGGCCCCTGTCCCCACGTGGGAGGCCTAGAGGAAGCTCCTGGCCCAGGCCTGGTCGTTGTGGCATCTGGGGAGTGACCCAGCAGAAGGAAAATCGCTGTCTCTCCCGCTCTGTAACTCTTTCAAATTCATAAATAGAACCTGAAAAAAAGAGAAAACCCTTGCAGAGCCTCACCGTCACTAAGCTGCAGCCCTGGCCACGGCCTTCGGGGCCCTGGGGAGGACCAACAGCTCCTGAGCCACCTCGGGCTCCCCTCGGTTCTCACTGTGCCCCCTCTGCCACCATCTACACTGCGTGCACACGTCCTCGTCACCACAGCTCCCTCACCAGCCCTCTGGCTGAGCTTCCAGAAAAGCACGAGGCTACACAGGTGCCACACTGGACGGGCACTCCCTGGAGCTGCCTGCGAAGCCAACTTCTGTCCTGGGGCTGAGTACAGGAGCAGGAAGCTCACGTCCCCGACTGTCTGCTTGGAAACAGGGGCCTCGGTGTCTCTTATCTGTGTTCTTAGTGCCTGAGCCAGGGTCTGGCCAGGCCCTCGGTACCATCTGGGGAAAGAAGGAACAGATGCAGACCCCGAGGGGAGCAGCAGAGGGTGCCATGTGCCAGCGCGATCCCTCGGACCTGAATCCCAGCGCTGCTGCCTGGCACCAGTGGGAGCCTCAGCTTCCCCCGTCAGTACAATGGGGGTAACCGCAGTCCCAACAGCCATGTTGTGACCATGAGGCACTCTTACCCAGCAGATCATCAAGCTCAGCGGACTTTACCACCTGCCCATCTCAACAACCAACCTACTCACTTGTCCCTCCTTGTGCCATCCAAGTTCTAGCCTGTCTCTTGGTACCCCTTCCTCTTGCCACAGATCTGACCACTGCGGCCTCTCGCTTAGGCTCTGTGAATGGCTTCCTGTGGGCCCCACGGTAATGTCCAAACTCCCTAAGACCTAGAAGGCGTCGCCTGATCTAGCCCCACCTGAGTCGCTCCACTCACACTCCTCTTTAAGCAGCAGTGTCCCTCTCCCCGCTGCTCAGGCTCGTCTCTGTTTCAGGGCCACCACAAACGACGTTCCCTGCAGGGTGAGCGGGTGGAGGGAGAAGCTTCCGTCCAGGTTCACGGTCTGCCTAAACCTTACTGATCCCTCTGCAGCTCCAACAGTACATTTTTCATTTCAGACACTGTACCTTTCCATTATAGATTTCTAACTGGTTCATTTTTAAACATGTTTTTAAAGATTTATTTTTATTTATTTGAAAGCCAGAGTTACAGAGAGAGGAGAGAGACAAGAGACAAAGACAGAGATCGATCTTCCTTCAGCTGGTTCACTCCAAATGGCCACAGTGGCAGGGGCAGGACTGGCCCGGAACTCCATCCAGATCTCCCATGGGAGTACAGGGGCTCAAGCACTTGGGACATCTTCTACTGCTTTCCCAGGCACAATAGCAGGGAGCCAGATCAGAAATGGAGCAGCCAGGACTGGAACAGGCACGTGTCATAGGCAGCAGCTTAACCTGCTATGCCACAATGCTGGCCCTGGTTCATCTTAAAGTTTCCACTTTCTCATGAGATTCCTCATGTGTCTGCCCACTGTGGCCATCTTTCCCTCAAGTCCCATACCACTGCTACAATAAATGCCTTTGATTTTACCTACTAATTCCAACATCCGGCTGATTTTATGGTCTATTTCTTTCTTTTTGCCTTTTTTTTTTAAGGGAAAGGATTTACTGGAGGAAACCTGACAGACCGGAAGAAAGAGGCAAAAAAGGAAAAGGGGGGGAGCGTAAGAGAGGGATCAAGAGAGAAGGAGAGAGAGATCGAGAAAGGGAGAGATAGAGACTGAGAGGGAGAGAGATCAGGAGACAGCGAGAAAGAGCTCTTTACAGTCTATTTCTACGGGGGTGCTTTTTACTTCCTTGATTATGGATCACAATTTCCTGCTCCTTAGCAGGTCTAGTAATTTTTTTATTATATGTTGGACATTGTGGATGAAACCTTGCAGGGAGTCTGGATTATGCTGTCTCAGGAAGTTCCCTTTTCATCTCCTGGGGCTGCTTTTATTTTTATGAAGATGAGTCCTGGCAGATTTTGTCCTCAGTCCTAGGGTATCCCCCTTCCCTCCAATCCACAGCCTTTTTGGGGTCTCAACTGCATACTCTGGCTGGATCCCACCTCCAAGGCCCCCCAATACTGTATAGCCCCCTGGTGTCTCTGTTCTCTTCTCAGTCCCGTGGCACCATGGAATCCTGCTCTCCCTCTTCTGATTCTCACAGCAAACCAACTGGCGACCTCCTGAGACAGCTTTTCCAATAATTCTGCACAGGAGTTCAGCAAGAACCAGGAGGATCACCATGGTAACTAACCATTTCTGCTGAACAGATGAAAATTCACAGCTGACAATTTAAAGAATAATACCCCTCACTTAGGTGATTACATTTCCAACTAGAAGCAGAGGTCAAAACAAAAAGGCTAATTAGGCGGCCTTTCCAACAATGCCCATTTTGGAACCGTCTGATGGGTCCATGAGGTGACCTGGCATCCCGCCCAGTAATGCAGTGGACCCCAACTGTCAGTGGTTAGTGGCTCCCACGCCGGGGAAGGTACAGGAAGCAACAGCCTCGGCTCTGCTCTTCTAGGTCTCCAATGTGACCGTGCTTAAAAGGAACAAGGCACCGTGCTACCCAGTTCTAATGAGCACTTTCCACACGCCAGTCTCTGCTGCATTCTGCCGAACTCGTAATGGGGAAACAGCCCTGTGAGGCAGGTGTTCTGAGCGGGAAAACTGGGGGCTGCTCTTCTGTACAGCATCCGGACCCCGAGCTGGAGTGCTGCTGTGCTAAGTGAATTTTAGTGGCCACAGGGTATTTAGAGCTTTGTGCTTTTCTCTGCACACGAGACCAGTATCCCCTCTCTGACACGGCAACCACGGGCTACCACGGAAAAGCACAACTATCTTATGGGGACTTTTGGGGGAAGAACAACCTTTTCAGACCTTGTTTGTGTCCCGTCTTGTGAATGCGTAAGAACAGAGGTCACAGACCCAACAGGAGACACACACTGACCCGCTCTGATCCTTTCTCAGCAGAGTTTTAGCAGGTGGCCCTTCTGTGTCAGCATCCTGAAACTTGGGAGGCTGAAGAGTGGTGCCAGGAGACACAGAACTGATGGCCTCGCCCAGGCTACGGGTAACATCGACGGCGAGCCCCTGCTGTCCGCACTCGGCTTTGCCTTGCATCTATGAACTCAGCACCGGGAGGCAAGTAAGGATCACCTAGTCCACACCGCTCATTTCCCTGGTGAACAAATGCGGGCCAGGTCTGTCTCAGTGATAGTCAGGGACAAAAGGAGTCCGGAAGCTACAGCTCTGGCTCCCGGTGACTCCAGCCTTCCCGCCCAGGGACCAGCTGCCTCTTCACTCCTGTTACATCACCTTCTCGGACCCTCTGAAAGGTCCACCTGCTGTGCGGGAGGTTCTATCAGAACTGCACAGCTGAAGACACCAAGACACTTTTCCCTTTTTGCTAGACAGTCGCTGATACAGTTACGTTGTTGCTGCTGTTTCTAACCTTCTGTGGCAGGGAGCTGAAGAGGGGCAGGCTGTGGGCTCCATTCACCTGCAGGTACCGTTTCTGACTCGCCACTGAACCCACCACCCTCTGAGTGAGTGATGCTGAGGCTTGTCCGCGTCCTCTCTGCCCTACCACAACTCCAAGAACCCCCCCTGCACCCCCATCCAGGGAGGTTCTCCAATATCCACGAGACCTTGGTGCTGTCTGCCAACACGGAAGGCTTTACCTGGCAAGCCTCCAGGCCGACACTCACCTTCGCATAAGCAGTTGTTTTAATAAACCACTGTCGGAGGTACTTCTGTTCCACCTTCGCCCCGGAACGCCACGAACAGCCGTGTTCATCCACCTGCTCGTTGGCAAGCACTGTTTGGTCCACTGGGTCCCAGTTAACCAGGGCCTGTAAGGGTTCACGGAAGAAAACGATGCAACGTGGTGAGAACCTTCATAGGATCATTCTGACCTTCCTGATCGTGACAGGGCCTGAAACACGACAGCTCTGCTCTCCGATACGGGGACAGCTCTTGGGGTCTTGCTGCATCAGGAAGCCATTAGCGAGCTATGAAGGGGACCGATGAACCTTCCGCACCCTCGCCTTCATCTTTTCTCAGGAAGGAAGCCTCGGAGCTCATGTCTACCAGCGTTGGCACTGTCTTGCACAAAAGGATGAAGGTGCAGGACTGAGCATTTCAGTAAAGAGAGAAGAGGAAGAAGAGAGAGCCCTGCCCCAAACTAGGCAGACTGCAGCTACTGTGGGGGAAATAAATACATCAATTTTAATTAAACTGCTAATATGTAGTGATCACCACGTGCCTCTGGCTGTGCTAACTGGCTAACACGGGCTCTTCTGACCCTCACCACAACCTCGGAGTAAGTATATTATCACCGCCACACTGCAAATAAGGAAGCTGAGGATCAGAGAAAATGAGCGACTTTTCTGGGGTCACAGTCAGTGAGTGGCAGAGACAGAGAAGGAAATCAAGTTTCTAGAAACTCAGGGTTCTAAAGCGTCCACTTAAATGAAGGTGCATGATGTGTGGAGGAATGTGGATAAATCCTGAGTGAACAACTCGATGCATCTTTGCAAAGGTAGACAATGGTGTAGCCTTCACTCGTCAAGACGCAGAACACGCCCAGCACCGGGGACAATCCTGCCGCGCCTCCTGCCAGTCAACATTGCCCCCGAACAGTGACGACCGTCCAGAGCTCTGTCTCCAGAGATGACCCTGGCTGAGCGAACACAAAGTCTTAACTGTTAGGAAGCTTCTCGCCTGAGGGTCTAGTTTGTCTTCATGTAGAAGAAACACTGCTGCCTTCTACACTGGCTCGTGTAGGACAGGTCCTGCTTTGCACAGAGAAGGCAATCAGTACATGTGTTCGAGTACTAAACTATCCTAACTTGACACACGTCAATTTTATTTCTTTTTCAATTTCTCAAGCACAGATACGGAATTTTTTGTTTTTGTTGTGTTTTAAATATTTATTTATTTGAAAAGCACAATTACAGAGAAAAAGAGAGAGAGAGAGAGAATGAATCTTCCATCCACTGTTTTACTCCCCAGATGGCTGCAATGGCTGGAGCTGGGCTGGACAGAAGCCAGGAGCCAGGAGCTTCTTCCAGGTCTCCCACTTGGGTGTAGGGGCCCAAGGACTTGGGCCATCTTCTACTGCTTTCCCAGGCTACTAACAGGGAGCTGGATCGGAAGAGGAGCAGCTAAGACTTGAACTGATGCCCGTACGGGATGCTGGCACCACAGGTAGCAGCTTTATCTGCTATGCCACAGCTCTGGCACCACTCCACAGTGATTCTAGTAAGAGAGTGTGCTAACAATGACTGTCTACTTACCCCTCTAGACCCTGTTTCCATCTAGTTCTGGAAGAGGAGGCTGAGGTCTAGGGCTGCATTAACTCAGATCCTTGCCTTCTGGCGGGGTTCAAGCAAGGAGAAGGACGCTGTCTCCTGGGGGCTGGACCACGGGCTGGCAGTACCGCATGCCAGGCCCCGCCTGCTGCTTCAGCTCCAGCCCTCCCAGGCCCCAGTAACTGCTCCCTGACGTTCTCTCTTGAGCCCATGGGTAGGCAGCAAAGGCTTCCTTCCCCTAACAGCGCCAGAGGCTGCCTGCCCCTTCTGAGTGCCCGGATCTTGGCACAGCAGTCTCTTTATTGCAGCTTCTTTAACGATTCCATTCAGGTGTGCCCTCATGTTCTGCTGCGACCCAGGCAGCTCTAGGAACACGGCTAACAACGTGGCCAGGATCCTACAGCTGAAGTACTATACCGTGGAGGAATGTCCTGACGTCCAGAGACAGGTGGGAAAGATGCGCACAGGACAATCTGTGCCTCTAAACCAGGGTGTCCCCGAAGTCTTCAACTCACAGATACACACAGACAAAACAGGGAGCCACAGGACCCAGACCTGAAGGCTTCAGGCTGGCAAACCACAGGTGCTTCCACCACTATGATCACTGCACAGGAGGGTGCCACGTTACACAGCAGGCAACAAAACAGGGCACAAAAAACCTCCAAAAATAAACATATTTAACACACGCCCAACTAAAGCTGCACACAATTTAAAGGAAAAGGAGAAAAGAATAGCCCCATACCCATCTTTCCACCACTGCCTCCCAGCCCCCACCAACCTCGGCGCTCATGGAAGAAACAAACGCACGGTACTCTAGGCAGCAAAACCAAACCCCACTTTACTTCCTTACCAACGTTTCCCACGCGGCCCGGCATCGCTCGGGTTCTGGGTCACAAAATGCAATGAGGAAGATGTGCTTCCAGGAGGGTGACGTGTGTTAAATCCTAAGTGTTGAATGGAAGACAGAAGCCACAAAGGAAAGCAATCTTTGCCCCAATAAAAAGACCTGGGGGAAGGAGGGAAACACTGGAGGACGTAGCGTCTCAGATGGAAAAGCCATCGTGAGAGTGGACAAGCATGGCGCTTCCCAGGGCCACCACCCTCAGCCCCACGCTCAGAGCTGCAGGTGGGGCTCAGACCTCTCAGGCGAGAGCAGGAGTGGTCGCAAGCCAGGGTCCTGGGTCCCAGAGGCACAGCACGTGCAGCCTCTTGGAGCCCTGGCGTTGTTTCCTGAATCCCTCTTTTCAGGGCCCCTCTTAGACGAGGGCGCTTCAAAAAGTTCATGGGAAATCAGAATTAAGAGGTAAGTTTATTTTGGTGCCACATTTTTTTTTAAATCCAAACATGGCTTTTTTTTTTTTTTTTTTTGGACAGGCAGAGTGGACAGTGAGAGAGAGAGAGAGAGAGAGAGAAAGGTCTTCCTTTTTACCGTTGGTTCACCCTCCAATGGCAGCCACGGCTGGCGCGCGGCAGCCACGGCTGGCGCGCTGCAGCCGGCGCACTGCACTGATCCGATGGCAGGAGCCAGGTATTTATCCTGGTCTCCCATGGGGTGCAGGGCCCAAGCACCTGGGCCATCTTCCACTGTACTCCTTGGCCACAGCAGAGAGCTGGCCTGGAAGAGGGGCAACCGGGACAGAATCCGGCACCCCGACCGGGACTAGAATCCGGTGTGCCGGTGCCGCAAGGCGGAGGATTAGCCTAGTGAGCCACGGTGCCGGCCAATGGCTTTTTAATAATATGCATTTCCACAAACTTTCTGAAAACCCTGCACACAACTGTGTCTGTTATCATATGGCTTTTCTCGAAGCTACGATCTTCCCCTCCCCCTCCCCCCTGGCTTCTCACATTTGGAGCAGTTACTGTGACAGACAGCCTGATTTTTAGGCAAGCACAGTCTTGCTGAAACGGGTATCACTTCACTGACTGTGCTGGCTCCCCTGCCGCTGTCATTTATTGTGTCACCTACTCCCTGGTGGCTCACAAGCCTCGTCTGTAAATGCAACTGCACCTGCATTGTGAAATCAACCCTAAGTCAGGACTGAAGGCACTGAGACCCCTGCAAAGGCACTGAACTCGGAGCAGGTTTTACTCACTGCTCCTCCCACAAGAGCGACGTGGCAGCACCGCAGATGAGCCGTTCCAAACAAGAGAACCTGCCCAGTTCAGCCAAGGGTTAAACACCAGCATTTGCATTTTTCCTCTGAGTGATTTGTGGGAAGCACTCAGAAAGCACTTTAGAAATCCACACTGTCACAAACTACAAACGTGAAGGCACCGTGTTCAAGGAGGCCAAATCTGCTCGCTGACCGCGGAGCTCCCGTTGGGCGTGCCTTTCCACCTTCCTTGGCTGTTAGCGTCTCAGAAGTGCGGGTGACCACGGCCTCCCCGGGCACTCTGGCCAGCATCATCCTATGGGCTCTGCTGCCCCAGCCAGGCCTCCTGCTGCAAGCCCTCACCCCACCTTGTGACTGCTCCTGCTCTGCCCACGGCTCCTCCCTGCCCTGCCCCTCTCCCTGCACACACGGTGCCAGCACCCTCTAACTCACACCCAGCATCCGCAGGCTTTGGTCTCCTGGCCAGTGCATCACTCCTCAGGCCCTTGGCTACTCTCCACAATTGCTTCTTCCTCCTCACTGTGTGTGTGTGTGTGTGTGTGTGACCACCGAAGGCCCTTTTTGTCAGGCAGCTTTAGGCTCCAGATGGCTGGTTAGGTATATATATACTTATACACATGCACTCACACACATACATACTAGGGTATTAACTTCTCAAGGTCTATTAGTTTCTTTCTTGACAAAGTATGTGTAACTAAGAAACACAACGTACTTATTAAAAGACCAGCTCTCAAAACCAACTGTGGGGGCTGCCACTTGCAGTGTCGGCATCCCATATGGATACCAGTTCGAGTCCTGGCTGCTCCGCTTCTGCTCTCTGCTATAGCCTGGAAAAGCAGTAGAAGACAGTCTAAGTCCTTGGGCCCCTGTACCCCAGTGGGAGATTCAGACGAAGCTCCTGGCTCCTGGCGTCGGATGGGTGCAGCTACGGCCGTTGGCAGCCAACTGGGGAGTGAACCAGAGGATGGAAGACCTCTCTCTCTCTCTGTATAACTCTGATTTTCAAGTAAATAAATAAATCTTTAAAAACCAAACCAAACAAACAAAAACAAAACAAAATTGTGCTCCATTCCACCCAGCACGGGCCTTCACTTGACTGAGTCGGGGTAGGGGTGGTGTCCCCAAGGCTACCACTTACTTATTTTACTGCCTCCACATCCCAAAGCCACATGGTGGCACAGTGGCAGAGACTCTGCCTCTCTTCTGTGTGCAGAGATTCTTTCACTATGCTTTCTGAAGCCGAGGCCACTGCAAACCCACTTTAGGTGGGTGAACTGACATGACCACTGGCCATCGAAATCACAGTGACAGCCAAAGAAAAACTCACAAATTAGGTGACTCCACGGTTCCTAGAATGTCCGGGTACAACACAGTAAGTATCATCCTGGAAGCTTTTTCTTTCGATCAGAGAGGTGAAAATTA